CCTGGAATCCGAAAGGTGGCTTCCAGAGATACACCCGTCGCCCGAAAGACACCCAAAGCCACCCTCCGGGATACCGGAGAGGGATCGGGACATCCCCAGGTGACCCAGATCCCACGGCAAACTGCGCCACAGCCAAGAACCTCAACGGAATGGGATGGACCCCGGTACCCTTCCCCCTACCTATGAACTAGTGTGCCTGTGGGAAAAATCCCAAAGGCCAAAAAGAGGAAGGACAAAAGGGAGGGGTGGGGAGGAGGAGGAGGAAAGGAAAAAGGGGAGGATGGGATAGGGAAGGGGGGATTGGGGGGTAATTAGGTTCGGTCTGAGAATGGAGACCGACAGGTCTAATTCCTCAGACCAAGTGCCTCTTCACCACGCCAAGGAGCCCCCCTTGAAGAGGGGCATTGGGGAAGTCCCTGGGGTTGGAGGTGAGTGGCGAGGATGTGGAAGAGTTGGTGGAGGACCACAGGGAAGAGCTAACCACTGAAGAGCTGCAAGATCTTCATCTGCAACAGCAAGAGATCACAGCTCAGGAAATTACTGCAGAGGAGGAGGAAGAGAGATGGAGGAAGGTGCCTTCTTCAAAGATTAAGGACATTTGTGCAAAGTGGACTGAAGTGCAAACATTTATCGATGAACTTCACCCTGACAAAGCTGTTGCAGGCCGTATTGGTAACATGTACAATGACAGTGTTGTGTCCCACTTCAGACAAATCTTAAAGAAACATCAGAAACAGAGCTCTCTGGACAGATATTTTGTGCGACAGGGATCCAGTGACTCTCAAGTTGTTTCCAGTGTCTTTAACCCTTTGACTGTCACAACCCCCAATGATAGAGAATCTTTTCCCGATTGTAATGACACCAAAAAAATGAAATTTGATGGAAAACTGACAGAATTATGCTCTCGCGAAGTTAGTGACCTTGGTGATATTTACAAATCGGCGATTTTGCCCACTTTCAGCCCTATTTTCGGCTAATTCCATTGTTCCAGTCGACCAAACTCATAACTATTTCTTTAGAACTCCATTTTTTCTATCGATTGAGTACAAGAAACTTCCCATTTACCGATTTCAACTACCCAATAATGTGGTCAGAAATTTGCAATTTGGCCAATTTCACGAAAATTAAAAAATATGACAATTTCAAAATAAGGTCCAGAATGAACAATGCAGACATTCCTGGCTCTAAAATAACATTTTCTTTGTTCATCAGTCATGTCTCCAGGCCCCTCTGATATTACTCTTGCTTTCTATTTTGAATTTTTATTCAAACAAAAAATAGAAGACTTACTATTATGCAGACTACTGCAATACTGTAATAATTGTATAAATAACATCAACCCATTTATGACTGCATATTAGAATGGCTAGTTGGACATTTATTGGACAATGACATCATTTGTTTACTTTTGAACATTGGCAAAAATCAAACATTTCCCCTACTTTGAGCTCCATTTCCAGGTTCTTTTTATAGAAAAATCAATCAAAATCACCTCTATTTCTATAATATGTTTTTCATTCTATCAAATGAGACTAAGAAAATGAGAATACAACCATAAATACTATACGAAAATAGATCACAAAGTCTTAATTTTAATTAAAAAAAATGATCAGAGTTTTTTTTTTCTCATTATGCACTGCGTGCTCCAGGATTTTTTTTATATGGTGCACACTGACCACACAGACCCATTCTCTCACATGTGGGCCTACCAGCTTTCTCCTGCTTGATTTGAAGCCGCTAGAATTTATGAGTATATATACGTCAAACACGGTACCTCGTAAGACGTATATATACGGCCGCGACAGTCAAAGGGTTAAAAAACAAAGAAGGGAAGTAACCCCAGATAAGGACTTGGTACCTGAAGTCCTAATGGAAGGAGATTCTCCTTCCAAACAATAGTGTACACCTTCCTCCTATCCCCTCCTCCCGTCTTCCATCCACCCAGAAGTCTTCAGTAAAGGTAAGTGTAATGTTATTATTATTTTATATATGTATGTACTTGATTTCTCATTGTTTTCAGTATGTAAATCTTTATTTAACCCTGAAATGGTCCAAACGTATATATACGTTTTTTCAACATCTGAAAGTATGTAAAAAAAAACGTAATTTTTTTTTTGTTTTAAATGTGAAAACGTGTAAAAAAAAATTTTATCTACATTTTTTTTTGTTATATTTGAAAATATGTAAAAAAAAAGTAGATCTACTTTTGTAGCACTACGAATTTGAACGTCGATCTGTTTGGACCGTTTAAGGGTTAATTTAAAAAAAATATTTTAATATTTTTGGGTGTCTGGAACGGATTAATTTTATTTCCATTATTTCTTATGGGGAAAATAGTTTCACCTTTCGGCAATTTCGTCATTCGGCAGACTCTCTGGAACGGATTAATCACGAAACTCGGGGGTACACTGTATTAGTTACAGTATCATAATGTAAGCACTCAATTCCTTCAAGGAGAAGTAACTTCATAATGGCAAAGGGCTCATGATCTAAGGAATTAGCACTGCCCTACAGTGCCTTCGATCATGTCTAATTATCTTATATTTTCCATGTACTGTATGAAACCTACAGATTTAGTGCCTCCCCATAAACATAATTATAATACTGTAATAATTGATTTATGTTTCAGCTGACTGGAAGATCGAGTCCGAGTGCTTTTTCAGTCTTTCATCAATTGTATCTTGTTAAAGCTCAGAATAAAGGCAAACTTTACTTTTCCTTACCTTTCAATATGTGGTCAAATCTCTGAATAATCAACTATCAAGGGTTTGCTTGTTAAATGTGCCTCTGTGGACCAGAGAACTGAGAGAGCTATGCAGATGCCAATCCTTGCTAAAGTTGTCCATTTACTATGGCTTGTGAGAACTTTTTGCACTGTTTAGAGCTTTATTAAGTTAAGTTCATAAAGGTCTAGATAGTGAAACACCGTCACAATGGATGGATGATCGACCCTCTCGTTTCTTGAACTGAATGACCAAAATGGATTTAGCTGCTATTTTGACATTGGCAAAAGTGCTGTTCTGATACTGACAGCAGTGCTGTTTATGCTGCTTTTTATAATGGTAGCAGTGCTGTTTCTGCTGCTTTTTATAATGGTAGCAGTGCTGTTTCTGATGCTTTCATGCAGACAGCAGTGGTGCTTCTACTAGGTGAACATGGGCAGCATGTGTCAGGTTAGGTTATGCTAGGTTAAATTTGGTGAGAAGACTTGCCCAAATTATTGATTTTGCTACTACTTTGATGATGGCAGCAGTGCTAGTGCTGTGATAGTAATAGTGATGCTGCTGTTCCTATTGCAAGCATTACCATGTAGCTATTGCTGTAGGCATAGGTGCTGCTGTTGCGTGTGACTTTGAGGTTGCTATTAGCAGTGTATATTACTGTTGTTGACTGGTAAGATGGTACAATTGTTCAACTTATCCAGTCAGCTGACCGGACATGGTTAATATCCAGAAATGAGACGGGGAGGGGAAGGGAGATGGAATCAGGTCACATGCTTGTGGGCTTGCCACATATAGGGAAAATTTAAAATAAAATTTTTTTTTGCTTACTCATACATGCTTAACAGGTATCTGGTTACATTTTTGTGATAACAATACGATGAAAATGTGATATATAGATGTGCTTCTTGTGGGAGTCTACTGAGTTACTGTCATGACTACACCATATCTATGTCCATCATAATTTCACTAAAAAATATTTAAATTTTATTTTGATCTGAGGTATGTTTCCACTATTTTCTCTCCATGTGCACTCCAATTGTTTACTTCCCTCATGATGAAAACTTTCCTTCTTATATCACTCTGGCTCATCCGGGTGTATATACAGTCCTACATTGTACACACACACACATGCACCCAGAAATATTCTTATGCCATTTTTTAAATAATTATGTATATACAGCTTCCCTATGAATTGCAAATAAAGTGTACACACTCATTCTTATAAATGGCATAAGAAAATTCTTAACATGCATACGATAATAAATTTCCTAATAAATTAATTTTAGGCAAATAAATGATTGATTCAGTATTAATAATAAATACCACAATGACTAAAATATTTAAATATGTGTTTTGCACATATCAATATAAATGTAATGTTAGTCTACCAACACAAATCTCTTACATTTTGTTTAGGAAAATAAACATTTAGATGGCTTTAAATAATACAATAATTCCTCTTTATTTTTATACTAACTAGATATACTTTTTCAAAATTGAAATAAAGAATTTTGGCTTTCATTCCGAAGTTCCTGAAATTTGAAGAATTTTCCGAATTAAAATTTCAGACATCAATCTCCTGTTCAAAAATAAATTAAATACTGAATTACTAATTGGAATGAAATTTTTCTCCACTCTTATTCATAAAATCTTGAATATCAGAGAATACTGTATTTAAAAAAAAAAAGATTAGAAAGATTATTCCAAACTAAAAAAATCCGAGCTAATTCGTAATTCCAAATTTAGGTGAATAGAATTATTTGGAATGTTCTGAACTATGGCAAGTTTTCCTACTTTAAATTACAGATTTATGCACTTCGGAAAATTCTGATTTTATAGATCATTTCAAAATTAAAATACATACTGGAATCCTGAATCTTGGAGATTCAACAATAAAAAGAAAAAAATTATGAATAAGAGAAATTATTGTAGCTATTTAGTTTTTGAATAATCACACAAATACAAGTAAAATGCTTGCATTAAATAACACAGCACCTGTTGACTAAAAGTCTACAGGAAATAGTTTGGAAATAGCGGGATGATGTTAGTGGAAGAGCGTAACGTTCAGCCTAGAGTGAGTCTTGGAAGATGTGCTTTGCTCAGGAGATGAAAATGTTCCCTATATATACAAGTAATTTGAACACAAACCCAAGGAATAAAGAATATATTAGTAATTTGAAAAAAAAAAAAGTAATAAAAAGGAATATTCCACCAAAACTCATTCTAGGCAGTATAATTAAATGTCATTCTTTCTATATGTATTTTCTTCACTCTCACCATATTCATAATCTGGTTGTTGACCTTGAGAATTACAGGATGCAAGATATTACCCATCTGCAAAAGGATTATTATACAGCAATTATTCTATGAGAGGTAAATAGATGTATATGTCATGATCGATGTTACAAAATCTGTGGTAGTTTCATATGTTCATCTTCAACACTATATCCCTGTATCAAAACCTCTCTACAAGCATATAAATGTTTAGAAGTGTAAATGTCACTGAAAGCTGATACAAACATACTCATGTATTTTGCATGCATATAATTTGTACATGAATAATATGTTTAAATGTATCAAATAAATAAATGTTACATATTTGAAGATATGTATAGCTACAACATAAACATAGCATGCATGAAAACAAAATATAGAACATTGCTTTCATAACAAGAACTGAATAATCATGTTCAGAAAATATTAAAAATTATGTTTTTTTTCATTGCAGTAATAAAATTAAAAGTGCTCAATACACAACTAGCAAAACAAATCATGAAAAATTCTGAAAATATTAAACCAAAAATGAGCATAAATAATCCAATAAATGGAAATAATTTTCATGCTATTTAATATGAATGAAACATAAAAAAGAATATATGTACAGTGGAACCTCGACTTACGAGTGTCCCAACATACGAGTTTTTCGAGATATGAGCCATCACTTAGTCGATTTTTCGTTCTGAGTAACGAGTGAGCTTCCCCCCGCCTCCTCCTCAACCCACCTCACTTGTTTATCTATGATTTCGTGCTTTAATTTCATTGATATCATAATCATTTTCTTCTCAGCACTGTCCTTTGCACTTACTTTCTTAAGACCCATGGTTAGAAAAATAAAATTTGGCAAAATAACCACACAAAATGCAAGCAAACATGAGAGAAATGCTTCCACAGCGAGGTAAACAGTGTACTGCACCAGTTGGCTGCCTTCTGAAGCTCCTCATTATTATTATAATAATTATTATTATTATTCTTATTAATTTAGGGAACTGAAGCTCGCTCATTATTATTATTATAATTATTAATTTAGGGAACTGGAGTACAGATCCAATTCCCTAGATCAAGAGCCCCTCACCAGTGAGCTTTGGCTCCCTAAATTAATAATAATAATAATAATAATTATTACAATAATAATGAGGAGCTTCAGAAAGCAGCCAACTGGTACAGTGCACTGTTTACCTCGCTGTGGAAGCATTTCTCTTGTGTTTGGTTGCATTTTGTGTAGTTATTTTGTCAAATTTCTTTTTACTAACCATGGATCCTAAGAAAGTAAGTGCAAAGGACAGTGCTGAGAAGATGATGATGATGATGATGTCCATGGAATTAAAACATGAAACCACAGATAAACATGGGAAAGGTGCGAGGTGTGCGGGTTGTTTGTGAGGCAATAGGAGCGAAGCACATGCTTCTACTACACTGGTACTGCCTCGCATTAAGCATTAAGAGTGTAACAAGTAAGTTCAGCAATAAAGTGTAGCATTAAGAGTGTAGCAATTAAGTTCAGCAATAAAGTGTAGCATTAATAGTGTAGCAAGTAGCCTATCTTCCACCCTCCACCTCTGTCAGCATACATACACTTTATAAAACCAGTTTATTTCTTTACATTCTCTATTATGTTTTATTGTTTTTATGCAATATTTCTTATTTATGAATACATTGTTTCAGTGTTTTTTCATGAAACTAGTGATCTAGCACAGTTAGTCTCACAAACACTCCCATTTTCATTAGGGGAAAAATGGGAAGATATGGTCAGTGCGGCAGCGGCGATGGCTGCCACCACTCACCGTACTATGGCCTATTTTATTCATTCTAGAGTACATATCATGTTTCTATACACAAATAACCCGCACATAGAAGAGAGGAGCACATAGAAGCTCCTCTCTTCTATGTGCGGGTTATTTGTGTATCGTTCCAGTCACAGTATTGTGCCTTTTTTGTTATTCATGTTTCTATGTTATTTATATTGTTTATTATGTCATATTAGATGAATTGTGATAGATAAAGAAGTTGCAGAGTCGATATTAGTGTTATATCGAAGTAGTATTTTGTCCTGCCTCCCGAGAGCAGGAATTCCACTGGAACGGATTAATGGCATTTCAATTAATTAAAATGAGGAAAATTGATTTGATATATGAGCAAATTGAGTTGCGAGGTAGGTCATGGAATGGATTAAACTTTTAAGTTGAGGTTCCACTGTATATAACTATTACAATAAATTTTAGACTGAACATACACCTACCAGATAATTTGTTACAAATTAATCCTTAGTTTTGAAGAGTGCTTATGTATAAAAATCAATTTTAAAAATCACTTTGTTAGGTGAGACAATATATGGCTAATGCAATGAAAGTTTCAAATAACAACCAAAATAATCTACTAATAGCATTCCAAGCAAATTTAGCATTCTGTAAAAAAACTGGGAAGTTCTGGCCAATTAGCTAAGTAATATAAATTCAGTGAGTGTTCTTTATTACATGTAAAATATTCTACAAAAAGAAGTCAGAATCAAATTAATAAATATTGGTAATGAACTGAAACTTTCGTTTGCTATTTTCTTCTTTTTACCAACGTAGTTTATGCAAGGTCACCTCCGTATGTAAAACATGAAACACAAGTTACTACATAAATCTCCCCAACCATCACTCATGCAATACTCTATTTTTTTTTTTTTTTGACAAAATCCATTTTTTCCTACTTATTGTTTTATATCAGAATTACATTTTGTCTATATTCTATATGGCATATCATGTATTGTCTATCTAGTAAACCCTGCAGCAATCACTGGAATGATATACCATTATAGGAGAGGTTTACTGGGCTTTATATTTTGTCCTTCATCAGTATGACATCAATTATGTTGTACAAAATACTGACACCAATGTTGCATATAATACTGACATCAATATGTTGCACATAATATTGCCATTAATATGTTGCAAGGGATATCAGTAATTTTAGCCACTAATAAGATAAAAGCAATGAAGATGTGAAACTTTGTAATAAGAGAAATCTTACTAAAGATGAATGTTAACAATTATGACATAATCAGAAAATGATTATCATTCACTTCACATCAATCATGTTTGTCTACACTATAAATATTCTTAACTATACAAACTATATATATGGCAAAAGAGACCATTAAAATAATTTCTGTGACCTTACTCCTGTGACAAAAATAAAAAGTTAGACACGTACATCCAAACTGGCTGCAAGCAAGCTGTAAGCTGCATGCACTTTTCTATGCACATTATGTCAGTAGTCAGCATAATCTCTGAAATCATCACTCGATTTATAAATCAAGGAAAAAACAGGAAGGCTTGGACGAACACTAAAATATGTAATCACATGTGAGAATGAACAGTATTACTGAATGGAAAAGTAATATCAATTATTACTTCATTACTGGATGTCTATCAAGCCATAATTATTATTTAACTGATTATGTTAATTCACAAATGGTGATTTCAAGGATTACAAAAGAATTTTATGAGACAGAATCACTATCCACTCTCCTCAAGGTGTTTAAGGTTGCCTCTCATTTAATACTCATAGTTCTGTCCACTTAAGGAATAAGAATACAATCAATACCTTGTGACGTTAATAGGCACTAGTTTCAAGTAACAAAAATAAATGCAATGAAATTAAAAAAGTCATTTGAAATACAAAATCTCTACATTTTCAACAAATGCTTTAAATGAATTCTTATAATAAACAACTTTCTGGCTTTCAAACTGCAGACAGAAGCACAAAGTGCTGACTATGCTGTAGTAGAGTAGAAACACCATGCATGGAGAAGACTATTTAAGAGAACGTTTCACATTGCACTGCTGATAAATCCCCAATAAAGCCCTGTAAGGTAAAACATTACCTCAAAAAAAGTTTTACTACCAATGTGGTGCTTCCACTCTACATTGCAGATACTGTACTATACCATCACAATATTGGAGAGACAACCAAATTCCTGCAAATCACTGGCTACAAAATATGATGCATGAGTTCATTTATATCCTCATAATGTTGTAAAACACTTTGACACAAGCAACATAAGTGTGGCTCCTTCTTTAAGTATTGTGCAGGAATTCTGGCTAATCTGTCTACAGTGCTTACTTTAGCATGTTGTCCAGAGCCGACGCGGAGGGAGCGTGTTCGCTGTAGGCCTTTGACTCTCATAGATGACCAGACCGAGCCGAACAAGGAGTGGTTACGCTAGAAAACCACCATTGGGAGGTTACTGTTAATGTGTTGTGGGGATTCTTTGCAACTGTTATTGTGTTTTGGGATTGAGAGGGGTTTAAAAATATCTTGAGGCAAGTCCATTTAAAATATTAAAATGCTGACATTCGTGAAAGTTCCAGGGAATTTAGATAGATTTTATAATAAAACAATAAAATTCAAACTCATGATGGCATTAGTAACTGAATTAATTTTAGAAAATTATGTGCACAAACACCTTAGTTGCATTACTATTCATGAGTGGTACAATGAGTAGTACTACTCAATTGTACAATGGTTTGCATCTTAACATTACTGTAAAAATGATAGAATCTCTTGGAGGAATCCTGGATCCTCACACAGTATGTCAACCCAGGAGAGGAATTTCAGAGTATTGAAAAAAGATGTTAGTTTTGGCCTTTTTATGAAAAAAAAAGGCTTTAGAAAGTTTATACAAAAGTTAGTAATTATTCTTTCACCTCTTGTGTAAATGTATATCAACAATCTTAATACACCCCTGATCATATTCACAATACAGAAGAAATGCCCATTTTATCTATCTATATATTATCTGCACAATTTTTCTGATGAATTACTCTCTCAATTTTACCCTCTAAAGCATCAATTTTAAACCTCGCTACCACTTTTCCACTTAGTAATGGCCCCTTCTGCTGTCCAATAGTCTAAAAGAAATTGGTTTTCCATGCCCAAGAGGACTGCTGCAATGGTTAGAGTGCCATTCTCTCACCAGATCCCACTCAGGCTAAGTAATAACCCCACAAGGT